CCGCCATTTCCAGAGAAATTACATACCTAAAATTATCACATTTTGAAAAAAATCGAACGAAATTACTCTTTGAAAATATCTCAATGACAGAACAAAATATGGCCTGTTTGACTTGTACTTCTACGTACTTGATTGACATGTTAAATTAATAAACAAAAAATTCTGTCCAACCGTTCACTTTCTCATCAATATAATATGTTAATTTAGAGGACTTCAAGTGCTAGTAGTGAAAAAAATAGTATATATATCACGGTAGAGAAGTCTATTATTGCCTTCGCACCTTACACCCCTCGGCGCAAGCGCCTCGAGATGTAATCTTGGTGCTCAGGCAATAATACTGTACTTCTCTACCTTGATATACATATAATGTACTATTATTCGTTTATCACTTGTAAAATTTTATATTGTAAATCATAAAGAGTTCTTTAAAAGGGCAGTATACCCAAATTTCATGTTTTCGTCTAAAGATAGATTAAAAATATCTAAGAGTAACGGTGAAAACCGCAAGTCGCTACGCCGTTTCGTTATTAAATGGTGAGGTGTCGAATTTAAAAAACGGTCGTTGTGACGTCATCCCGACAAATGGGTCGGTGGCGCGCTATAGCAATATATGGATTCGATGACATTTGACGTGTTAATTTGAGACTGGCAGTCAGTGATCTGCATTATTTTCAAAAATACCTAACTTTGTGTTTTCCGCTGCAACAATAATTTGAAAAATGCCAATGTTACATTGCAAATTTTCCCCGAGAAAAGAAGGAGCCGTGTTGAAATAAAGTCTGGAAAAGTAGAAAAACCGCTGAATCATAGTATAGTCACGTTGTTTGCAGTGTCCACTTTAAAGATGATAATTTTTTTTGGAAGATACAAGAAGGAAAGGGCCCTGTACATCAGCATAAAGTTTTGAGAAGGCTAACAATACTGCAATCCCTTCTTTACATCTCACAGGAAACAAAGGTCCTAATAAAGCTACAAACGTCAGTTAACTTATCTAAGAAAGTATAATTGTGTCCGATTGCTTATTGTGGGTAAACGATCAACTTCGTAGTGGAGAATCCAGTTCAACATCAAACATATGCCACAATCAAACAGAAGAACTGAATCAAATGGAACCGATACCGCTTATTGAAAGCATAGGTATCCAATCTGAGCTGGGTACAGAAATTTATTACAAATATTCAAATTTATATGAGGATATATGTTCGGATGATACTTCAGTAAGGTTTTCTTGTTTTTTTCAAAGGAAAGCGAAATAGAATATGAAAGAACGCGTTTGGACTGCTTGGATCCGTGCCGCCGCACCCACGATGTCGGGATGACGTCACATGTTCTGTCTTTCAAACTTTCATCGTTAATAACTACTCATCGTAGAAAACTCCGGTTTGAAATTTTGTTCTTAGATTTTCTTCTACAATTTTTTTGATTTTGGGTATACTACTCCTTTAAATTACTCCTAAAAAATTAGGAAACTTAAAATCGTATGAGCTTTTAGACTGATTTCTCAGGAAACGCTGTGCATTTGTTTTGTTGTTTACTTATGACATTTTATTATTCGTTTTCGCCAAGATTTTTCGATCCATTAAAATGAGTGTACCGCAAGCTATTATTGATGAAGCAACAAATGTGGCGGCAAGTTTGCTGCCCGAAAAATCTTCGGCAAGATACGAGCACGAGTACTGATATAATATTTGTAACCACTGGAAATATGGCTTTTATTAGCTTAAAGAAATCAACTAGACAATTAAATTAACTTTGACAATAACGATAAATGACTATCAAATGATAACTAGATAAAATATCATATCATTCTTCCCCTGTAGAATTTTCTTCTTCTGCAGAATTTTCTGCCCCTGTAGAATTTTCAATTCCACTTTCTACAACAAAGTTTTGAAACCGCGAGGGTGGCCTTCTAATTCGAGTAGACCTTCTAACCTCTTGTTCCGTCGAAGATCCATCAGAAGTTTGTAATTCTTGTGAGGCCTCAGTCTCTGAAGTTTCAAGACTAACATCATCTTCACCCTCGTCAACGTTGTTTGGGAAGGGCGCTAAATGACGATTTGTCACGGTTGACATTTCTCCATTAGCTCTTCTAATTAAAGAGTAGTAAGGATTACTCTCGATAAGTACAGCTTCTTCTACTACGGGATCAGTCTTTGAGTGACGGACATTCTTTTTTACTAGAACAGGTCCAGGCGTTGAAAGCCATGATGGTAGCGAATCCCCGTTTGGTGATCTTCGAGGGTACGTGAATAGTTTTTCATGTGGCGTAGCATTAATCGATGTACAAAGAAGTGATCGGATACAATGAAGGGCATCTTTAAGGACTTCCTCCCAGTTTCCAATTGACAAACTCTTTGAACGTAGACTGAGCTGAATAGTACGCCAAAGTGTTCCGTTCAAACGTTCCACTTGACCATTACCCTGTGGATTGTATGGCGTCGTTCTTGAGGATGCAATGTTTGAGTTTTTTAGGAAATTTTTAAATTCTTCAGACATGAATGAGGTTATCTGTCGCTGTGTATGTAAAGAGGCTGGCCAAAAGTGAGAAACAGGTCTTTCAGGCATTTAATGACTGTGGATGAGGTCATATCTTTGCATGGGTAAGCGAAGGGAAATTTGCTATATTCATCGATAATCGTTAAAATATATTTGTTTGAAGAATTAGAAGGGAGAGGACCTTTAAAATCAATATTAAGGCGTTCGAATGGAGACGTAGCCTTAATTAGTTGACCTTTTGCTTTCAAAAATCTTGGCTTAATTTCAGCGCACGTTGGACACAATGCAATCATCTCTTTTACATCATTTGCTATATACGGTAGGTTTTTAGAGCGTATCCAATGGAACATTCTACTTACTCCAGGATGGCAAAGCGCATTATGAAGCTGTTTTAATTTGTCGGTGTTCATGTACGCACAAACTCGTGACAGAGCGTCTGCTGTTGTGTTTTCCGAACCTGGTCTATATATAATGTCATATTTGTAGCAGGATAGCTCTAGCCTCCAGCGCATTATCTTCTCATTTTTAATCTTGCTATTGTGATTTTGATTCAACATGTACGTTACTGATTTTTGATCCGTAATTAAAAGAAAGTGTTTTCCAATCAGAAAATGTCTCCATTTTTTAAGACTTTCAACAATTGCACAAGCTTCCTTCTCTATTGATGAATGTCGACATTCTGGATTAGAAAGCGTTCGAGAGAAGAAAGCGACTGGACGACCCTTTTGCGTAAGCGTACCGGCTATAGCAAAATCCGAGGCGTCAGTTTCAACAGTGAAAGTTTCATCATCATCTATTGCTATAAGAGCAGCTTTTTTTATGTCTGATTTAATCTCTTGGAAGCATTTTAGAGCATCAGGCGTTAAAGGAAAACTTGAAACACAAGTTAAAGGTTTTATCTTCTCTGAAAATCTTTCAACCCATTTCGCATAGTGGCCGAACATTCCCAAAGCGCGTTTGAGTTCTGAGTTTTTAATGGGAGCGGGAAGTTCTAAAAGGGGTTTCAATATCTCAGCGTCTGGTTTGATTGTGTTATTTTCGACAGTATAGCCAAGTAGATCGATTTTTGTTTTCTTAAAAACACATTTTCTTTCATTCAGTGTTAAGTTATATTTTCTCGCCGCATCCATAAACTTTTTTAGATTACGTTCATGTTAATAATAATAATAATAATAATAATAGCTTTTATTGAATATTGAAGGCTCCTACACCATATTCAATTGGAATGCACAGGGTCAGATAAACTGAAAACAGTTATCTGTTCTTCCCCCTGTAACCACAATAAAATCTAGGTATAAAATAAAATTGCAATGACAACCATATATACATAATTAACATAAACATATACTATCCTATGCTTGTAACTAAATAACTAGCATAAAACTTAAAAAAAAAAAAAAAAAAAATTTTCCGGTAAGCAGTATATAAGTATTACAATAGGTACGACAAGTAACTAAAGAATCACGACCTACTTGTAAGTATTGTCCTTTTCATCGCCCTCTTAAATGAAACCTTTGATAAACTCAGAAATTTAAGATTTTCTTTCTGATTACCAAATTTGCAGATGTTGTAACTGAAGGATCTTTGAAATACTGACGTAGAGAAAGATGGAGTAGATAACAAACCTCGATATCGCAAATTTAGGTGGTGAATATCTGTTCTAAATGTTATCCTATTATATAAATAAGGAGGTGTTCTATCATTAATAATTCTGTGATAAAAGCACGAGGAGTGTAACTGCCGTGTTTCCTTCATATTCAGCCATCCTATTATGGGAAGTGTATGGGAAATCTTTTCATATTTTCGTATGCCAAACACAAAACGTAAGCAAGAATTTTGAACTCTCTGAATTCTATCACGATCTCTAGCCAATAGACATGGTCCATAGACAACGTCAGAGAAATTAAAGTGTGACAAAACCAGAGCATCACATAGTACAGCTTTGTGTTTGGTGCTAAGAATACGACGGCTGCTATACAAGAGACGCAAATGGCCGTACGCCTTGGCAATCAGATGATCGACATGCTTCCTAAATCTAAGTTTGTCATCAATGTAGAGACCGAGGCTTTTTACACATTGAGAATTTTGGAGAATTTGATCTCCGATTTGAATCCTTATTCTATCTATGGCTGCATCTCTCAGTTTATCCTTTCCGAAGACAATTATAGAAGATTTATCGGCATTAATTTTAAGCGAGTGTGCTGTTGAACTTCGTAGCACGCGTAAAAGGTCTTCATTAACGTTAGAGACAGCAATGTCTAAGTCTTTGATATCGAACGAGAGGTATATTTGGGTGTCGTCAGCATAAAGATGGTATTTGCAATGTCTTAATGTTGATAAAATCTTGAAGGTATAAATAGTGTACAGAAGTGGACCTAAAATTGAACCCTGGGGAACACCTTTTGTCAAATGTAATGCTGTAGATTGTTTGCCATTTAATACTACTTTTTGTTGTCGCCCATTTAGGTAGTTAAATACCAATCGAACAGCGGATTCTTCGAATCCTATGAACTGTAATATCGAAATAAGAGTGTTGTGGTTATGATGAAGTCTAGAGTCCTTTGAAACGCTGCTACACCATTGGTAACACCGAATGGAATTCTTGTAAACTGGTAAAGTTGTCCGCAGGCTTCAAAAGCAGTGTAGACTTTCTCTTTATCTAAAATGGTCATTTGATGATATGCGCTTTTTAAGTCGATCTGACTGAAGATTTTGTATTTCGATACTTTTAAGACGACCGTTTCCATGTTTGGTAATGGGAATGCATCCAATTCTGTAAACTTGTTAATAGTCATAGAGTAGTCTATTACTAGACGTTTTCGATGAGCGCCACCTCCCGCTACTAGGACTTGTGCTCTCCAGGGAGAAATGCTTGGTTCTATTACACCGTCTTCCAGTAATTTTGATATTTCTTGCTTGATAAATTCTTCGTCTTGTATACTGTATCGACGACTCCTTACGGCGATAGGTCTGATGTTAGGTGACAAATTAGTAAAAATAGATGCTGGTGGCACCGAGGACTGCATTACGTTGCAGATGCGTAATGGTTCATGGGGACCTCCCAATTCAAATTCAATTTTAGAATGTTCTTTTAGTAGGTCGTGTCCAACGATCACGTCCGCGCAGAGATTATCGACGATAAGAAGTGGTATTTGCCTGTAGTTGTGTTTATTCATGGTGATATTGGCAAAGCAAATACCTTCGACAACCGATACTTGATTCAGCGAGGCTAAGTTAACAGACTGTGTACATGGTTTTTGACGTAACTTCATTAGGCGCGCGATTTTTCTGTTTATAAAACTGACAGAACTGCCAGTGTCAACAAGAGCATCAGCTTTATAACCATTCACCGTGATTAGAATAGTTGCACCTTTCAAGCTTGACGGTGAAGCGGCAGATATTGTACTACAGTGAGATGAACCGTCATCGATAAGACTGTTGACTGTGTTTTTGAACGAAGCCGAGTTGTTGGTAGCGTTTCGTGATTTACATACATTTGAAAAATGACCTCTTTTAGAACACAGGTTACATATAGCACGGAAAGCTGGGCACTTAAACCTTTGATGTACGTTACCACCACAAAAGAAACAACATCTTACTGATCGTGAGGATGGTTCAAGTATTGTTTGTGATGGTCGGTGTTGTGTAGCCGCTGCTATGTTTGATGCTGTATCTTGTTTTTGTTCGTATATAGCATTAATTTGTGGTGAATTGTTACTTATTATTAGCGCGTCCTTTTCAGCTGTTTCAAGTGCAATAGCTTGATCAAGTGCTTCGGCAAGAGTAAGTTTTTTATTTTCTAGCAGGCGTTCTTTGATTTTACGAGAAAGCAAACCGGAGATCAAGGTGCTACGGATTGCTTGTTCTTCATGTTCTTGAGCGGTAACGGTTTCGAAAGAGCAATCTTTTGCCGCTAAACGTAAAGCTCTTACGTAGTCAGAGATGTTTTCATCCGCACGTTGTTTCCGGTTAAAAAGAATATGCCTGGCTAGAATTATATTTTTAGGTTTAATATAAATACCTTCTAAAGCTGCAATTGAGGCTTCGTAAGTTTCGCAAGTTTTGATATGTTTGTAGATTGAAGCTGATAGGTGATTTACTAAGAGCTTGCGTCTTAATGCATCTGGTATTAAATCAGTTTTTACTTCTTCATTCAAAAAACTTTCGAACGTTGACCTCCAGTGCTGCCATTGTGCATCCGCTTCTGCAGCATCAGGTTCGACATCAAATTTGTCAGGACGTAAATACCTCGTGATAGGAAAACTAGTTGACGATGGGTTTTCGTTAATCATTATTTTAAGCTAATAAAATTGATATAATATTTGTAACCACTGGAAATATGGCTTTTATTAGCTTAAAGAAATCAACTAGACAATTAAATTAACTTTGACAATAACGATAAATGACTATCAAATGATAACTAGATAAAATATCATATCACTACGCCTGAGTTGCAAAAAATTGAGCAAAACGAAAAACAATGTGACTGGTATTCTTAGACCATATAGTACATGGACTGCTATTATCCCTATGCTTTCAATACAAAATGGGTGGTCACGGATAGAGGGCACTGTAGTCGTGGGTATGTGAATCTCAGGGTAAACTAAAGCCGTATGAACACCACTCGGATCGCGTAAAGAGTAGCTTTTATGGGAACCGCGTAGTACGGGAAGCTTTAAATACTCTTGATTATCTTCTATACGTCCATAAATACGGATAGGTTTGCTTTTTTGGCATATCCAGGCGATTAATTAATTGACGTTTGTTAATTTATAGGTTGACAGTCTCAAATCGTATCTAATCGGACAACTTCGGACAGACTCGTTTACCCTGAAACTCACATACCCAGGCGATGTCCTTGACCATATTTTCGTTTCAATTAGCAGTCCATGTACTATATGGTCTACGAGCTGGTATTACAGAAGACGTTCTATTAGCGTACATCAGTAATTTGTCTACAAAATTCAGTCCAAATTCTTTATGGTCAAAATGGTCAATGGTTAAGAGTTGTTTGCAAGTTAGAGAAAACATTGATGGCCGGAGGTTTGTTTTTATCTTTTTACAAACAGAAAATTTTTATTTGTCATTTCTAGATTTCATAGTGATTGCATTTTTGAAAAGACGAAATGAACGTTCGCAAGAAAGCTAAAACTCTGACGAAAGAGCACGTGGAAAAATTTATATTAAAGCTCCTGACGATAAATGGTTGCTCGCCAAAGTCATTACAATTTTTGGTATATTTGGTTGTTGTCGGTGCGATTTTTATCCCTCACTTTAAATGACATGGAGGATTTGGAGAAATATATTGTGGTGACCTTACGCGAAACTAAGAATTTAACAACTAGGAGGTTTACAATAACAGATGATGGGTGTAGTTTCAAACCATGTGTTATTTATCGAATATATGTCGCTTTACGCCCTCACCAAAGTAAGGGTCTGCGTTTGTTCTTGACGTACCGAAATGGAAAATGTGTCGCCTTAAACATACTGTTGGAACAGTACCGAAAAAGATTGCTGAATATTTAGGATTTCAAGAGGCCGCACTGTATACAGGTCACTCATTTAGACGGACTGGAGCAACGATGATTGTTGATGATGGTGGTGATATTTTAGCTCTAAAACGTGCAGGGGGGTGAAAATCAACAACAATTGCAGAGAGATATGTGGATGACTCAATTAATAAGAAGATTGAATTGTCAAAAAGTATGTTCTCAGTTAAAGAATCCATGCGGTCCCCTTCTACAGAGCATCAACATGCAAATATAAGCGTCGTCATCTGGAGTGATCAATATTAGCGGAAGTAAAAACTGTACTATGATATTTAATGTGTACGATAAAGCACAATTTGCTAATGTTAATAAATGAAATAAAATGTTAACAACATTGTTTCTTGATATAATAATATATACGAGCACAGGTGTAAAACTTTTACAGGCTAGCATGTGAACACACAATTAATTAATGGACACTGACAAACATTTATTCCGAAACACATGAAAAAATTAAAAGTCCCTAAAAGCAAGAAAAGCTTACAAAGCTTGTTTGCACATTATACACACCAGACCTACGAGGAAAAAAGCTACTGCTCGGCGGTATTCCTGGACGTGAGCCAGGCGTTTGATAGAGTATGGCATGAGGGACTCATATACAAGCTCAAGAAAGAACTCCCATACACGCTGTATATCATCATGGAATCGTACCTGAAAGAAAGATACTTTAGAGTGAAATATGGACAGGATGACACAGCACTGTATCCGATAAAAGCAGGAGTACCTCAAGGTAGCGTCCTTGGACCAACATTGTATCTCCTCTTCACGTCTGATTTACCTACCGATCAGCAAACATGCACAGCAACATTCGCCGACGATAAAGCGATACTGGCAAAACATAAGGATCCAAACACTGCTGCAATGATGCTTCAACTAAACCTAAACCAAATACAAAAATGGACATCTAAATGGCGTATAAAAATAAACCAAGACAAGTCTGTACATGTCACGTTTACAAAGTGCAGAGGACATACACCAGCAGTCAGATTCAATGACCAAAATGTGCCACAAGCTGATCAGGTCAAATACCTAGGTATGCACCTAGATAAAGGTTTAACTTGGAAAACCCATATATTCAATAAAAGAAAACAACTTGGGCACAAACTTACCAAACACTACTGGTTACTGGGTCGAAAATCAAAATTGTCGCTTGAAAACAAACTATTGGTGTATAAAGCAGCCTTCAAACCCATCTGGACTTACGGGATACAGCTATGGGGAACAGCTTCTGTCTCTAACATAGAAATATTAGAACGCTTTCAGTCGAAAATTCTAAGAACAATAACTAATGCTCCGTGGTTTATACCGAACAGAGAAATCTTAGAAGACTTAAAAGTGAAATCAGTCAAAGAGGAAGTGAGTAACTATAGTGAAAAGTATTTAACTAAACTTGAAGTACATCCAAATCCACTTGCCCTAAATTTGTTAGACAATAGTGAGGACTCGCACAGGTTAAAAAGACAAAAAACTCTCGACTTGCCCTCGAGATTTAAGTAAATGTAACTAAATAAATAATTAGTAATAACCATAGCCTTAGTATATGTATATATGTAGAGTAATTAACCAAGTTCTTGTCATTGGACAAAACTTTCGTGTCCACTGCAACGCTTACACATTGCAACATATTTGCTTATAGTAATGTAAATTATACTGATTGCAAATAGAAATATAAAATCCAAAAAAAAAAAAAAAAAAAAAAAAATTATACACAGCAAGCCAGGAGGTAGATAATTAAAAATTTAAAAAATCTTAAGTTACCTACTTACAGCTTCTGGGCACTTTATTTTGAAACCGACAAACTGTGTACTGCAACAAAACAACTAGGCCAGATTGCACGAAATGTACCCTAAACATTTACACGCTTTTTAACCGTCGCGAAAACTAACAACCAGCCGTTTTCTTGTTGTCTCCAGTATTTACCAAAACACCACTTCAACCATCAAATAATCCCCCAGATTTAAATTGAAATGTTGGCACATTCAATCCCGTCATTACTTTTGGTGTGTAAACCGAAATAAGGTCCACACTCTACACGATGTTGTTTACCAAACAATATAAAAGCATAAACTTAACTTTAACTTCAATAACTCAATTTACAATTCCAACCAGTTAAATATCTTCGTCCAACAAAACTAATCTGAAGGATTTACATATTAAACTGTTCTTCGTAACGGCAAAAATAACGTAGATAAAATCGGAGTATCAGTGTCGAAAGGTTTCGTAAAGGGTATCGAAGTAATTTACAAAACTAATCCTTAATGTTGATTCTAAGAAAACTACTTTATAAAGCAAGATGACTAAATGTCTATACAACAAAAGTAACGTAATATAGATATAGATCTAAGATCATTCTTTGTGGTTAGGTTGGAATAGCACCTTCAGGTGCTGATTTGGTAGTTGCAACCGTTTGAATACAATTTATAGTCGAGTACAACGCTTCAACATCATAACCTGATCCACACATCGACTATTAACTCCAGATCCACGAGCTCCGTTTCTATACATATATACAGATGGCGTAACGAGTAGTAGTGGAATATTTGAAAAAAAAAACAAATTATAGATGGCCCGCATAACCATTCAAAGTTACCATCTAACTGAAAAATTGTCGCGTGCCTTCAGAATCTGGTTATTAGTATTGTCCTTTTGTACCTGTTTAAATTTTAAACATTTATCTTACTTAG